CTTATCCACCTGGCCATGCCTGGCACGTGTTGATAACCGGCTGCCGGTATTACAGGCAGGTGGCAACAGGTTGACCCTGATCACATCGTGTCAGGTTTGTTTGTTTGTAATTATGCACAAAGCTACACAATGGGCTATCTGTGCTCTGCCCACCACGGGTATCGAAACCCGGATTCTAGCGTTGTAAGTCCGCAGACGTACCGCTGTGCCATTGGGGGGCATCGTGTCAGGGCTCAGGGGATGTTTCCAAGATCGCGTCGGTCTCTTTGATAACATAAGGCAGAAGTGGTAGCGACGTTTTTCAATATTTGGCTAAAGGATAGGTATCTAGAGATTTCAAGTAAAGCTGCTGACAAACCTGGCGACTTGGATTAGAATTTAAAATTAAGTGTAATAAGTAGTGGGAAATTGTAGAGTGAATAAAAAACTTGTAAAATTCATATACATGACTGAATGAATAAAGAAAGAATTATGTTTTTCATTTTTCAGGAGGGGGGCAAGTGCCCCCCGTAGACGCCCATGGTGGTAGCCCAGGTGTACTGATTTCTTCACTAGAGATTCAGCAAAAAATGTATTACAAATTTAATCTGAAATCTTACCCGAGTTGAATAAAAAAACTACATAGACAAGTTTTGTAATGTGGTGCAGGATGGTACCATGTGTGTGCTATCTAATTAGTTAAAGAATTGAATCTTTTTGAAATTATTTTGTTTTCCAGAGTTTTCAGTTTGGGTGCAGAGAGTTGCTCAAGTAGTCACTTTGCCCGGCATGGCCAGGTGCTTGATTCGGAAGCTGAGGGTAGCTGGTTCGAATCCCCGTCCCACCAAACATGCTCGACCTTTCAGCTGTGGGGGCGTTATAATGTGACAGTCAATCCCATTATTCGTTGGTAAAAGAGTAGCCCAAGAGTTGGCGGTGGGTGGTAATGACTAGCTGCCTTCTTCTAGTCTTTCACTGTTACTTTCAAGATAAGTTAAAAAAATAAACTTGCTGTCCAACATTACACTTGTGGGAGCAATCCTGGCTTTAGATACGAAACGTAATAACACTAACAAATACAGGTTTGTACATCGCACATATAATTCATTTCCACAGCAAATCGAGCACTACAGCATGGCAGACCCTGGCTATTATCCTGGCTAACAGGAGAGCTAATTTTCTATTTCTGGACATCACATGCTATCTTCACTGTAAAAAAAAGAAAATAAATTTCTTATGACTACTTGGTTTGATTTCAATTTCGCGCAAAAGTACACGAGGGATAAAACTGCACTGGCCGTCCTTAATTCCGATATGCTTGAAATTAAACTTAAAAGAAGGTTGAAGTACTTGGACTTAAAATATAATTTGGCTAGATTTGCGCATGAAGTTAACATTTGAACTGTAATTTTGGTTTAAACTTAATTTTGGGTTTGTTTAAATAATAACACAACTTTTACTTTATTATGATATTCACTAAGGGTTACATTTTTCTAAAGTTAGGATATGTAGTTCAACTTACAAAAGGAAGCATACTGAGTTGATAAGAGAATTGAAAAAAGGTTTCATCACCTCTCTCATTAACTTAATACTCATCACAAAGCACTTTCCCTTGTTCTATGTTTTACTGTGATCGTGTTTTCATTTGTCCTTTTCTTTGACACTTTCTTCTTGAAGACATCGGTTAGAGATCAGAGACCACACAGTCACAAATTACATAGTCTTTATTATTTGACCTTTTAGTTAGCATGTCCTAACTGTCTACTCTACAGGATAGCCATGTAACAGGGAATACCACAGACTAGTAAAGAAGGTAAAAATTTGGTGCTGTGACAAAGGATATCAGTATTATGGATGAATGTATTGTTTGAGAGATTGAATAGCTGGACTCATGAATCCTCCTGTAAAGTAAGGGGTGTTGCAAAATAAATCACCCTTTTTTCCCCGAAGTAATGACGAATATCACCACTCGCGAGAGAACGTCATTTCAACGTACTCTTGGGTGTTTGACTCTTCAAATTTCATTTTTTGCGAAAACGTTTGAATCATAGTGCTCACTGAAACTCAGGTTCGTGTCGCATGCAGACTTCGGGATGGCTCAGAAACTAATCACAGACATGCTCCGATAATTCAAGTCTTCCAATCGACAAATCGCAATGCCGGATTTGAAAAATTCGATTAATGCCTCAAAAGTTTCAGAATTGTTGTATTTGAAAGAGTGGTCCATGAAAAAGTAGTAGAATGTGAATTAGGAACTTTCCAGATTTAAATCCCGCC